CCACAGCACAATCACGATCCTTATTTTACAGAAGTGAACACTGTGGCTTAGAGGAATTAGGCGTCTTGCCCAAAGCCTACATACAAACCACGGCACGTTGCTAAGAGTCACAACAAGTAGGTCCAGAGAGAAGAGTTTGTTTGCATTTTCTTGATGCCTACAGGCTCTGAAGCTGTTTGGACCACATATGCTCAGAGTCCCCTTTAGTCCCTCCAGCCTACCAAAACTCCACAGGAAGTAAATAAAACCTGAAAAAAAAATAATAAAAAAATCCCAAACCCAACAGTTGTCTCTGTTTAATGCTGGTTTACTGTTGACCTTGCATCTGCTGCCAGGATGGCCTAACTCACCCCAGCGTCTGGATGTGTACTGCTGCACTGCAGAAGAGCTTGGCAGTGATTTGTGAGGAGGCATTAACACCCAGCTGTTCTCCTGTCTCTTTCGGTTTTCACGTGGACAAAGTCAGGAGCGGCCCAGGCACCGCACTGACACCGTGCGGTTTCAGGCTATTCATATACCACAGCAAGATTCAATACCCACCCTGTAGGATCCAAAATCCCCAAATAATCCACACTGATTGCAAATTTTCCTGCATTCTCTTCCACTCCCCCGTCCCAGGTCTGGGTTGCAGGAGCTACTGGTGAATTACCCCGTAAATTGAGAGAGGTAGCTCCGTGTGTACATGCACACAAGGTGTGACAAACCACGTTTGGCTCAGTTTCCCCCACGACACCCATCTGGGGGACTGCACCCAGCTCTGAGTGCCAAAGAGGGGTAGACAAACCATGAAGTGCAAAGCTGAGCAACATCAAGCTGTTCTACAAGCTGCTTCCCACAGATTCCCGTCTTGAGGCTGATCGCATTTGGTGGCTACAAAGGTACAAACTACCATCAAAGGGGAATACTCATAAAACACTTCTCTGATCTGTAGTAAAAGCTGATCTCATGCCAGAGCTTTTCCCTCAGGTAGGACAGTAACTACGGTACCACAGTCCCTATTTTAACAAAACTTAGAGGAACACGGTATTTTGTAGGAAATTAATACGTTTTGCTAAACATGGCCGAAACTGGATGTTGGGTTTAAAAGTTACTTGAGACAGTTCAAAGGTACCAACAGAGAATAAGATCACATAAAGCTCCTTTCTTTAGGCAACCAAGGAAAAATGTTCTGCTTTGACAGGAGGTACAAGGAGATCAAAAGAGGTGGGCTAAGTACAGAGCTGAGGGGCCCCATAGACCAGCTACATGTACAAGGTGGAAATAATGGCACAGGGGAGGCACTGATTATCATTGAACACAGGGGTGTAATTAGGACCGTTGGGACAGAATAAAAAGATTAATGGTCTACTTGCTCATAGAAGAGGTCCATGAAGATAAACTCCCTGACTTTGAGATACTCCAGAGCACAGTATCGTTTTTCACAGAACAGGAAAGGGGCATCACTTATCGGGGATGTGTAAAACTGGATTTGACAAGACACTAATGGCTACAGTTTGAACAAGGAGCTACTAATCCCAGGGCACACAGGAGATACCTTGTAGAAGAAAACAGTCTCTTTTTCTAAAGAAGGATGCTTTGAATGATCTGTTTGTCACTAGCCCCTCTGAAAAGCTTGACAAAACACATGGGAATCACCCTGCAAGCATGCACGTATCTCCCTGTGTACACCTCTCTGATGACCAAAGGCCTGAGGATATGCCTCTCACCCTCCTGGAAGTGCTCCTGTCGGCCAGGCAGGGCTGGTCACACTGCCCCATCTGTGGCTTGGCAGCCAATGTGACCAAGGAGGCACTGTGAGTAGCCCCCAATGCGTGCCACCGGCCACTCTGTGGCCCCAGCCCTGGAGCAGGTCAAATATGGGAATGCTCCTTGCCAGGGAGAGCACGGGCCACCCAGGGAAGGGCAACGTGCCACTTGTTGAGCAAAGCTCAGCACATGAGCAAGACCAGGCCCTGAGGCTTTCTCTTTAACTGTAGACTGGGCATAAATCAGGTAGTTTAAAAAAAATACTCCCTCTTTACCCTACTCCTTCTTACCCTTACACATCATCCTCTACCAATGGGTCCAGTCCTGGGGACACGAGAAATGTTACTCCATGAGAAACGGAGCCTCTGTTGCAACTGGACATCTCTGTTTTCCATCCACAGGGCAAATGGAGAAGGGGAGGGCCGCCTGCAGAAGATTAGAGTGATACTACTTATGTGGCATTCATCCTCTTGGGGCAGGAATATCCCAGAGCTTGCATCATGTGGAGCAAACAGGCTGTCCTCAGACAGGAATACACCGCAGCTTTTCTGCCAAGTTGAAGGCGATGCGTTCGACGCAAATGCTTGGTCCCCTGCCACCTTCATCTTCCAGAGCCCTGGGTTTGAATGTGCGAGCTGCAGACCAGAGCTGGGTCACAACCTTTTCGGTTATCCCTGAGGAATTTTACTCACCCAGACAACGAAACGATCCAGACATAGCAAAAATTCCCTGAGGAAATCGCTTCCTCCTACATATAGGAAACGAGACAACAATTCCAATCCCTCATACTTAACCTTCCTCAAACATAAACATGAAAAAGTGGCCAAAACGCAGGGAGGGAAAGAAAGTCCCAGAGCAGCAAGGAGTACATATGCAAAGAGTTACGTCATGCAGAAGGAAAGCTCTTGGCTTCGGGCTACAATTACCAGCACTTAAATGGCAGGGGCCACTCTAACAGGGGAGGGGGAGGGAGCCCCCAGCCTCCAGGAACCGTCCTCCTGATCGATTGTCAGGAACACAGTAACAGGCTCTGCCATCAAAACCATCCCCGGACAGCGTGGCGCTGGAAGTCAACCTGGCACCTTGCCACCACCTGCATAATGCTCCCTCCTCTGCCCGTCCCAGCTGATGGACAGAAAACTCCCTGTTCTACCCCTCTAATGCTCAAGCCCTGAAATGCTTTGCCTTGGCAGCAGGGTGACAAGGAAAGAGCAGCCAAGGGCTCCTGTGTTAGGACAAAGTTCACCAGTACATCTCCCCGTCAGAGGCAGGTACCTGTGCCAGCCCACCCCTGTCACCCCACTCTTGCTTCCCTCTTATCTACGATTTTAACGTCCTCTTCTCTCCTCCCCTGACTTGGAAGGCTTGAGAAGGCTTTCAGGGCTGAGTCTTTCTCCTGCCACAGCTACCTCCACAGCAAGTCCATCTTCTACCTCCCTAGGTCTCCTCACAGATAAAAAAACAATGAAGTTGCTTCTGGCTATAAATAATCTTTGAAACTATCACTATTTCTTGAAAACTTTTGTTGCAGGGAAAAGCTGACTGAGCATGGAAAGGTCCACCAGCATCCATATTCCCGAAGTCTCTTGATCCTGTATCAGGATCAAGTTAGTAGTGGGGATGGGATCAGGAGGAACATGTACTGGCTAGGGACAGTCAGCAGTGGGTGACAAGTAGCAGTCCAACCAGTCCTTCTGCTCTTCCAAGCCCAGTGCTATCCTGGTTTGGAGCATAAGGTGTGCAAATCCCCTCCTCCCCCTACCCACCTGCTCTGACTTGGTGTTTTTATCTGTTTCTCTCTATTGTTCCCTCAAGCTGGTTTGTTGCTTTAGCACTGCAAGAGGTAAAAAAGACATTCATAGGCTTACAGCTCTAGTGCTATGTAACAAAGCTGCAGAATGAAAAGGAGGGAAGGATAAAGGAGAAGGAACAAGAAAAGCTGGTTACTGTGAGGTCCATGACATAGCATTACAGTATTTAAAGAAAGCGGTTAGAGGTCCACCTCTGAGACAGCAGTTGACAGGACAGTCAAAGGAAACACTGTACAGCCAGCTATCCTGCAATGCCCGGACACAGATGAATGAGATGGGTTCTAACAAGTCTTTCCTCTGAACCTCCTCATTTTCCTGATGCATTGGGTATTTCCCTCAGAAGCCCAGGAGACCTCTCCCCAGTGAGACAAAAAACAGATAACAGTCTTCAAGCAGTCTCTTCAGCCAAAATAACTGCTTAGCTCTCAAACAGTGAAAATGTGGGATCCACCTACAGCTGAGCTAATGAGATACAAAATCCTTCCCTGATTGTTCACCCTCAGCCCCTTGTTCTTTTCAAATGTACTGGTCCAAAAGGAGCCTCCAAATTGTTTCCATGTTACAGACCCCTTGACAAGCTCCAAACAAGGTTCAGATGTCTCAAGAAATCCCACATATGCAGACTGGAGCACAAGCTTGCTTTTCATAGAAAGAGAGAATGGTTTGGGTTGGAAGGGACCTTAAAGATGATCTTGTTCCAAGCCCCCTGACACAGACAGGGACACCTTCCACAAGACCACGTTGCTCAAAGTCCCATCCAAACTGGCCTTGAACACTTCTTTTCTTCATCACCTCTCACAGGCAGCCTACCTCTAACCCACTGCCCCAGGCAACCACAGGCCCAATGTCAATACGAAGAGGTACAGTGTAATAAGCTGTGTCCAGCTTTGGAGTCCTCAATACAGAAAGGACATGGACCGGCTGGAACAGGTGCAGCAGAGGACCACGAAGATGATCAGAGGGATGGAGCACCTCTCCTATGAAGACAGGCTGAGGGAGCTGGGATTGTTCAGCCTGGAGAAGAGAAGGCTCCGGGGAGACCTTATAGTGGCCTTTCAATATCTGAAGGGTGCCTATAGAAGAGCTGGGGAGGGACTCTTTGCCAGGAAGGGTAATGATAGGACAAGGGGAAACAGTTTTAAATTGGAAGAAAAAAGATTCAGATTAGATCTCAGGAAGAAATTTTTTACTATGAGGGTGGTGAGGCACTGGAACAGGTTGCCCAGGGAAGTTGTGGATGCCCCATCCCTGGAGGTGTTCAAGGCCAGGCTGGAAGTGGCCTTGAGCAACCTGCTCTAGTGGGAGGTGTCCCTGCCCGTGGCAGGGGGGTTGGAACTCGATGATCTTTGAGGTCCCTTCCAACCCAAACCATTCTATGATTCTATGATTCTAAGCAAAACAGCTAAGGCATAGAGCAGGTAGCAAGATTTCACAGAAACTTACATGAACTTTACTTCTGGGGAGCTGGTTTGCGCGCCAGAGAAGGGACATCGTCACTCATTACTGCTGGCTGGTGTTTTCAGCCCAGATCAGAAGTGGAGCACACTTGAGAGAAAGCAGCATGAAAATGCCATGCAGTCATTGCTCATGGTGCAGTTATCTGTGCTTCAATACAGCACTGAAGTCCCCAAGCCTGCTTATCTGCCATTTGTTTAGGTGCCATGCCCAGGAACTGCAATCAGAGCCCCACAGCACAAGAAGAAATAATCCCCTGCTCTAACCAGCTCACCTCTAACTTAGTACACCAGCTGTGGGCAGAATCTACAAGCTCTGGGAAAGTCAAGAGGTACATATTCCCATGTCTGCCGCCCAGACGCACGTCTGGAAGGAAGCACACTTCACAGTGTAACAGCAGCCTGCTCTTTTCTTTCACTAAACTCAGAGACAATGCTGGGAGGGATAAATCTCTCAGAAGAAATGCTGGTTATTCACGCATTAGCTTAAATATCGTAGTACGGCAGAAGCCGAACCCCCGCGAAGATAGAGGCAACCCAGCTAAATAAGGCATTTCTGGGAACCCATCTCATCTAGCTCACAGGATATGTGGCAAAAAAAACACAGCCTGGAGTCTCATGAGCCCGGAAAGACACATCTGGCCAAGATCTGTGACAAAACTCTCTTCTGCACAAAGAGAAACATTCCCCATCTCGTGTAACGCCACACAAGAAAGATCAAAGGTGCCCCTGGTGCCTCCTGATGGGTAAGCAGCTGTACCAATAACAGCAGCTGGAAAATGCAACGGGAGACTCTGGGCCAGTCCCTTCCTCCTGTGCTGGGAGCAGAGCTGCCTCCCGGGCAGCCCCCAGCAGCAGCCCCCTGTTAATTACCGGCAAGGAATTTGCGCTCTGGCAGATAAAGTCATTCACCCAGCTATGGAGAATTTGCACAAAGCAGCTTGGATGGGACAGTAGCTCCATCTGCGAAGCAGCACCAGGGCACCACACACACCTATGTGCTCTGCAACATCACCTCTCCTTCAGAGCTCGCACCCCGCACGCTGCTGCTCGGAGGTTACCCACCCTTCAAAACAGCCCAGGAGTTTGTTTAAACACTGGGGCATTTGGTCACCGACTTCAGCACAACACGAGGTGCCTCAGACAGACCCGCTCGGTTTGTCACCCAGACTCTGCTCCCTGGGACCATCCGCAGCACAGCAGCTCCCCAACGGGGCAGCACATGCCTTAAAAACCAGGCTTTGCAGGGATGAGCCTTTGCTGTACGCTCAGGATAGAAATCACTTTTTCCCTGCCTCCCCATTTAAAATACATTTATTGCCTTGAGGTGCAACTCCAGCAACGCCTGGTCTGGCGCTCAAGGGCAGGATTTCAAGCAGGAAGATGCCTATCGCTCCAGAACCAGCTCAAGGAGAAAAATGAACACAATTTTTCCTTCCACTGAAGATGTGTCTGCTAGACTAGACCTGGAAAGCAAGTTTCACTATGTTAGCGGATTACATGTGACTGCTGGGTTTTATTGCAGAAAGTCAGTGTGTATTAAAAAACACCCAAGTTACCCCTATGATCGGTACCACAGTGTCTTTTTTTTCCACTGCCACAGAGAAAATAACAGTGAGAGGAGACTTGAACTATCTACAAAGTCTCTATCACTAAAAATTTCAAAGGCAAAGGGACCCTTCTTAAAATGATGGCTTCAGGGCCAAATAACAGCTACGCAATTACATCAGGATCTCAAGGCCCATTTATTCAGTTCAACTTATTAAGACAGCAGTTTTTAGTCTTCACCACTGCAAAAACGTGGGAAAAGCTTAACCAAAGCAAGCTGCCGATGCTGGCCAGCCTGTGTGAACAGCCCAATGGGAGGAAGTACAGCAGGCTTTATGAAGACCAGCTGAACTCCCAGCTCCATCTGCCCCGGGGCACAGGAGCACTCTGCTGGCAAAAGGGGCAGAGGACTTGGAAGGGGTTGAGTGTTGCCCTCCCTTAGTGCAAAAGCAAAGTCAGATCGAGAGGAACTGCTCAGGTGAGTTCAGCAAACAGAACTTAGCTAAAATCTTTGTTTTTTTCTCTCCCCCCCCCCCC